AAAAAAAAAAAAAAAGGTTAAAGCCTAGCTTTTAGTGCAAGTGACAATGCATATTTATGATAGCTGATGATGAGGACCTAGCCCCTCGGGGATAAAAGGTGAGCCCAGGCTGCAGAATGTGCTGGAACGTTTAGGGTGGTGTGGACAACGCCAGTTTCAGCTGTGGTACTGCCTAAGGGACCAAGGTTAAAGATTGTCCAGGTTTAGGTTTTATTTTGAAGGGGTGACAGGGCTGAACGGGAAGGTTCCCTGGGCGGGGGAGGGGTCTTTGCATTTCGACTTTGGCTCAAAGCACGCGTGGCTTCTTTCAGGGTGCTGACCTACCTCAAGGTGCCAAAATGGCTGCAGCAGCTCCAGCATCCCTTTGCTGCCCAAGAAGAGCCTCCTGTGTGCCCAGGCCCAGGGTCCACACGCTGCACTGGCCGATAGAAAACAGGACACCTCCAAGCCTCCAGCTGTGTATGGTCAGACGGATGCCTTTTTAAGTTAAGTGTCCCTGCACTTGCCCCAGGCGGGCCCCGGGGCTGCAGTCTAGTGCGTCTGGCCTGCCCTGTGTCTGTCTGAGCCGGGTAGGTGGCGGTAAGGTGACCTGATGCCCCGGGGAGGAGGGGCCCTGACTCTTGCAGGGGTGAGGAGAGTGCGCTGGGTTGGAGCTCGCGGGTATGGGGGTAGGGTGTGCAGGGTGGAATGCAGGAATCTGACTCAGGGATTTTTCCCGGTTCTGAGATGTTCTGTATCCTGAAGGAACACGGAGAGAATATTAAGCTAACATTTCAATAATAAAAAAAATATACTGATAATCTGGGACAGGGACCAGCCCCAAGACTGGGGTTTGGACCCTGGCCAGAGGCCCACCAGGGTGGCAGCCGCCTCCCAAGGGGAACGGGAGGGGTTTCCTGCTTCTCGCCTTCTGCGCGCCCACCCCCCAGCTTGCGGTGGGGAGAGGCTTCAGGAAGCTCCTCCCAGGGAGGTCCCTGTTGAGGCTGGGGAGGAGGGGGTTGCCGTGCGCCCCCAAAGCCCCCATCCCTGCTCCAGGCCCTGTCAGTTCAGCCTGGACTTTGGGATGGGACTGGCGGGGGGGCTGTCCCGCCCCCGGGCCAGGGAACCGCGGTTCCAGGGAAAAGAGAGCATTTGTCTTTGGCCCCCTTGGAGGTGGCACACGGTCCCCGTTAGGAGTTAGGAGCAGGGAGGGGGCTACACCGGAGGTTTCGCCCCCAAGAACGCGGATCCCCTTAGGGGCTGTAGACACAAGGAGGGGCCCCCACCTTCTGAAGAGGGAGGGGATCACTTGCTCCCTTCGGGGCCACCCTCCGGGTCGTTAGGGGCGGGTAGGGGGCCCTCACTTTCTGAGCAGGGAGGTGGGGGTTACTTGCTTCCTTCCAGGCCTCCCTGGGGTCCTTAGGGGCGAGCAGGAGGCCCCCACTTTCCGAATAGGGAGGGGGTCACCCCGCTCTGAGTAACCAGCCCTCCCCGCTTGTCCCGGGCTGCGGGCGGGGCGAGCGGAGGCCGGGGCGGGGCCACAGGGCCCCCCCACCTCTCCCCCCGCCGGCCCCGCCCCGTGGGCACTGTAGCCCCAGTCGCCGCCGCCACCCGCGCGCCCCACTCCCGGAACAGTTCCTGCGCGGCGCGAGACGCACCATGGCTCGCCGGGCCGCCCTCGCGCTGCTGCTGGTCGGCCTGCTCAGCACCCTGGTGCCCGCCTGGGGTGAGCGTCTTGGGAGACCTCGGGGCGGGGGGGGAGGGGGAGCGGGCGGAGTGCCCCGGGGGCGCCGGCCAGCCTGGGGACCCGCATCGGGACGCGCGCGCCGGGACCCCAGGGAAGGCCGCGGGGGCGCCCTGCCGGAGGCGGGCCTAGGGGGACACAGCGGGGACGCCCGGGCCCTCCTCCCCGCCGGGGCGGAACGCGCCATGCCAGCGGGTAGCCAACGCCCCAAGGAGGCGGCCTCAGGGCCTCCAACTTTTTTACTGGGCGGGTTTGGACTTACGCCAGAGGCGAAATGCAGCGTGTTTTCAAACTCACAGACTCCGGTAGTTGGAGACACTTGGCGGGGAGCCGGTGGCCCTTAGGTGCTCCCGGCCCGCGTGTGCGCCCCTGTGCACCCCTGCAGAGGTCCCGGGCGCCCCCCTGGCGCACCCCGGGCCCCCGGCTTTGTTCGTGCGCGGGGAGCCACGCCCTGCGTTCCCGGCCTAAATTTGGACTCGGCTGTGCAGCCTGCAACCAGGCGGAGCCGGGGGTGGGGTAGTTTAGAACAACTTGGAGCGCTGGGCGCGTTCGGAAACACTGTGTGCCCAAGCCTCCTCGGGGACTGGGGCGCTCGCTGCGCGCGCGGTGGAAGGAAACGTGTCCTCCGCAGACTGCCGGGTGTGCTCCAGGGGAGACTTCAGAAAACACACAAGTGTCAGGACTAGGGGAGGCCCGGGGACCTCCTCTTCCCCCCACTTTACGCACAGGCGGCCCAGGCCTGTTTCTGGCAGTTGCCTGTTTTCCTGTCGCTCTCCTTTTAAAGGGGAAGTTGCCATCCTCTTTCTCCCTCTGTCCTTTGCAAAGGAAAGCTCGGATTTTTGCTGGGCGTGGCATTTTGAAAGCTTTCCCCCACCTAACGGTTATTTCCCTGGGCCGCAGCCACCCCCCCGGGGACAGTGGCCAGACTGTTAAGTGGACAGCCGGGCGCCCGGCAGAGTAGTTCCCGGACCCGTCTGCTCCGAGGTGGACACATTTTTGCAACCAGGAATCATGACCCAAGGCCTGCGTGGTGCTGGGAATTTCCCCCTCTGTTGGGGGACCTCCCGCTGGGTGCTGGGGCTTGACTTCTGCCTTCTTGGCACCCTGGTTGTTTTGGGGGAGCATTTGTGAAGTGATGTGGGTGCTTTTTAAATGGGCCCCGTGCCCTCTGGTGGCTTCAGGGGAGATGAAGCCTGGTCTGGGGGGGAACATCTTGGAACATTTTACAGCCCGCCGGGGAGGGCCTCGCATGGCTATCCAATTTCTCTCTTTGCTCCTGAGGAAATGTCCTTTTTTCCTTCGGCTGTGTCTGCTCCAACAGCAATGGGTTTGTTCCCCCGCCCCCCCACCATGTTTGTCTTCCCGCTGTTTGTTTGCATGACACCTGCTGAAAGGAGTTTTCATTGATCCCTCTGGGTGTGTGTTTCTGCACTTTGCCTTGAGCCCCTCCCGTGTGCAGGGATCCAGGGAGGGAAAGCCAGCCTCAGGCAAAAACAGCAGAGAAAGGTTGGAAGGATGGAGCTTTAGTACCTGTTGATCTTTCTGAGGATGCACAACCCCCCCCATCCCCCCCCTCCCCCCCCACACACAGACCTCCCTACCTGATCCTTCTGGGGTCAGGAACCAGCCCTTCCAAAAGATACAAATGCAGGTTTTTTGTTTGTCTTAATCAGGAAAGCACTTTCCAGTTGGTGAAGGTCAGAACACACTTTCCTATAGAAATACGTGTTTGGTGTAGTTTGCACAATGGCTATAAAAGCCCATTGAGCCTGGGGACAGACCTTTGCTTTTACTAGCATGGGCGGGGCGGGGGGTGGATTTCAAAGTCCTCAGGACCCAGGGCCTCCCCCCCCCCCCCCCCGTTCCTGTCTTTCTCCTGAGATTCCCATGGGAATGGAGGGAGGGATGGAGGAGGCGTAAAGAGGCATTTCACCTTTCATGGAGCTGGGTTTTCCCCACCCCTGGGATCCTTGGAAATGCCTGGGGACGTTTTTTGTTTTATTTTTTTTTTTGAGGTGTGACACCTGGGGGAAAGGGTGCCCGGGCAGGTGGTGGGTGGAGACCAGAGACTGGTCAACACTCAACCATGCACAGGATGCCCCACCCCAGAGAGTCATGCAGCCCCAAATGTCAAAATGTGGGCTTGGTTTCTCCAGTTTTCTGACGAAGGCTCTGGTCTCCGCCTCGTGGGTATGGCTTTCGTGGTCCCGCCTGTTTGCCGAGGATGCTGACCGCCTGCCCTTTGGGCTCTGATAAAACTTAATTGCACTTGTTGACCTGCGTGCGTTCTTAGTTTAGGAGGTTAACGCTTTTTTATTTATTTTTTTCATGTCGAGATAGGAAATTGACTTCTGTAGATTTTTTTTTTCTTCCATCTGGATGACGTCTTGGCTGCCTGCTTTGATTTAGAGCAGAATGTGGCTAATAGAGCAGTATAACCAATTCAACATGAAGGGGTCCCAGCAGGATTTCGTGGACGGAATCTGGCCTTTTTCTCGGGGGATGGCTTCCCCCACGGGACCCTGAGTAGCACACACGTGGTCATCATGGTGTTTCCACCTCCTGAGATTTCCCAATGCACGGTGGCTTCTTTTAAGGGGAAAACAATCCCACGTGTCTTATGACTTACAGACAGGGTAGAGCTCTAAGACGGATGTGTGTTTGGAGGCTCAAAATTACTCAGCATTCGGGGGGCACCTGGGTGGCTCCGTTTGTGAAGAAGCTCACTCTTGATCTCAAAATCGGGTCTTGATTTTTGGCAACGTGAGTTGGAACACCTCTTCTTAAAAAAACAGAATTAGTCAACATTGTGGCTCTACCTGGGATCATTCGGATGCCCAGAGACTGGAGGAGTGTTCTGTAGGACGCCCAGCCTTTGTGGGGGTCGGAGAGACACACAGGACACAAGACATGTCCATGTGTCCTCGTGTGCTTTGTTTTAATGTCTGGGCGTCTGTCCCACGTGAATCAGCAGGGATTGCTCTGGGACATCCTTTGGTCCTTTGCCGACTCTTGTGATGGATGACGGAGCATGTGTTTAGGGAGGGATCTCCAAAAGTCCTTTTTAGGGGCAAGGGGGATACGGTGCTTTGGGAAATGCTTTCTCCAGACAGAGGTGCATTTTCTAAACCTCTGAGAAGGACACACCCTTGAGGATGAGTAGAATTGCCTCCAGCGAACATTGTCATCCACACGGAACTTATGGGATCCAGACTTGCCAACTCTTTCCTGATGGTGTTATTTGTCGGAGAAATCTGCAAGGGGACAGGAAGGGTGTTGTTGGGGGTTGTAATTACACGAGACCTCTCCCAACCAAGATGGTTTTTCCACAGAGGTAGAAGGGGGCAGAAAGCAGGGTTAGGATGGAATATGCATGAAACCCCAATCGTGGGCGATCTGCTGGGGTGGGGAACGCACACAGCAAGTCCTCCTGCTTGCATGTGGCTGTGCGCAGATTCCCCGTCATATACGTGAGCAGCGTATTTAGCTATTGCAAACGTTTCCATATGTTTGACAAAGACAGAGAATGTCTGAAAGGAAGGGCAGGCCTTCCCTTATGTTTCTCCTGTATTTTCAACGGGGAGTCTTCTTTTTCATTTCTATTCGCCCTGAAACCTTACAGTGCAGGGACCCACGCAATCCACAGGGCGTTTCCACCCCAGTTAGCGGCTGTGAGGATTCGGTTATGTCCGCCCCGCTGTGGGAGAGAAAGCCGTGTGGACTGTCGGTGATCTTGGTGCCGCCATGTTGCTTGGACACATTGGGTGGTTCACCATCCAACACCAGATGGATGCACTTTCCTGTGTATGCCAGTGTCTGGGGGTGAGAGATGGTCACTCACCAAAGTTCTAGTTGTATTTAGGGAATTCATAGTACCTTCCACACGCCTAGAGACACAACACTTCCCTTTCTTGAGTTTCTTGTTCTTCACTGGCGTGGTTGTTAGACCAGTTTGGGGAGACGGCACATGGGTGTGTTTCAGCTTTGTTTCGGAATGACTCAATGTTGCCACGATCCCTCGTGTACTCTCGCTCGGTAGCCGTATTATTAAAAATCCCCTAAACAGGAAACCAGATGCATCCTTTTTCTTCCCCCCACCCCCGAGTCGGTCGCAAGCCCGCAAACCAGTGTGTTTCTCCAAAGGTAGCTTGGGATGCATTGATGGCCGAGAGTTCCGTGGGCGGCAGCTTTGTTGACAAGAAGAAAATTCACTAGAGGCTAAAGCAGCCATGTGTCTCATCGGGAGCCCAGCGGAGTGAGCAACCGTGAGGCTTTCGTTCTGTTTCTCCGTGTCTGGGTGGCCTGGGCCAAGACATAAAACGGATTTATTGCCCTGGACGGCAGGCAGAAGGCTTTCAACATACTTGCAGATCCAAAGCCCCTGCAAATCGCGTTCATTTCTC